TCATCCATCCATCCATCCATCCATCATCCATCCATCCATCCATCATCCATCCATCCATCCATCCAGCATCCATCCATCCATCCATCCATCCATCATCCATCCATCATCCATCCATCCATCCATCCATCCATCATCCATCCATCATCCATCCATCATCCATCCATCCATCCATCATCCATCCATCCATCCATCCATCATCCATCCACCATCCATCATCCATCCATCCATCCATCCATCCATCCATCATCCATCCATCCATCCATCATCCATCCATCATCCATCCATCCATCATCCATCCATCCATCCATCCATCATCCATCCATCCATCCATCCATCCATCATCCATCCATCATCCATCCATCCATCATCCATCCATCCATCCATCCATCATCCATCCATCCATCCATCATCCATCCATCCATCATCCATCCATCATCCATCCATCATCCATCCATCCATCATCCATCCATCATCCATCCATCCATCCATCATCCATCCATCCATCCATCCATCATCCATCCATCCATCCATCATCCATCCATCCATCCATCCATCCATCATCCATCCATCCATCCATCCACCATCCATCCATCCATCCATCCATCCATCATCCATCCATCCATCCATCCATCATCCATCCATCCATCCATCCATCCATCCATCCATCCATCATCCATCCATCCATCCATCCATCCATCCAACCATCATCCATCCATCATCCATCCATCATCCATCCATCCATCATCCATCCATCCATCATCCATCCATCATCCATCCATCCATCCATCCATCCATCATCCATCCATCCATCCATCCATCATCCATCCATCCATCCATCCATCATCCATCCATCATCCATCCATCCATCATCCATCCATCCATCCATCATCCATCCATCCATCCATCCATCCATCCATCCATCCATCCATCCATCCATCATCCATCCATCCATCATCCATCCATCATCCATCCATCCATCCATCATCCATCCATCCATCCATCCATCATCCATCCATCCATCATCCATCCATCATCCATCCATCATCCATCCATCCATCATCCATCCATCATCCATCATCCATCCATCCATCCATCCATCATCCATCCATCCATCCATCATCCATCCATCATCCATCCATCCATCCATCATCCATCCATCCATCCATCCATCCATCATCCATCCATCCATCCATCCATCCATCCATCCATCCATCCATCCACCATCCATCCATCCATCCATCCATCCATCCACCATCCATCCATCCATCATCCATCCATCCATCCATCCATCCATCCATCCATCCATCCATCCATCCATCCATCCATCCATCATCCATCCATCCATCCATCCATCCATCTTCTTCCTCTTTATCAGGGTCGCGGAGGCAGCAGTCTGAGATGGTGATTCTCAGGCTTCCCGATCCGCACACTCTTCCTCCAGCTGCTCCCTGACCCAAACAGGCCAGCTCATAGACTTAGTCTCTCCAGCGTGTCCTGGACCTTCCACCAGGCCTCCTCCCTATGGGACATGCCTGGAACACCTCCTGAGGGAGGCGACCAGGAGGCATCCAGAATAGATTCCTGATCCTCCTCAGCTGGCTCCTTTTGACGTGGAGGAGCAGCAACTCTTCTCCCAGCGCCTCCCGGGTAACTGAGCTCCTCACCTGATCTGGAAGAGTGCGCCCAGCCACCCTGTGAAGGAAACTCATTCGACTGATTTTATTCGCAGTCTTGTCCTTTGGGTCGTTACGTCATTACGTTCTCACCCTCACCCATCGGTAAATCAGAGCTTTGCCCCCTGAATCAGCTCCCTCTTCACCACAACAGTGCAATACATCGACCGCATCACTGCTGACGCCGCACCGATCCGTTTATCGATCTCACGCTCCCTCAGTCCCTCACTTGTTAACAAGACCCCGAGATACTTGAACTCCTCCACTTGAGACAAGGACTCTCCACCAACCTGAAGAGGAGAGTCCACCTTTCTCCGTTGGAGAACCATGGCCTCGGATTTGGAGGATCCGATCCTTTATTTCTCTTGGCAGATTTGAACATTTTTATATATAATGATCAGAGCTCGCTCTTTGTACATAATAAAAACAATCCTCCTGGTTTTTTGAAACCTGTTCAGTTTAATCCCTTTATATTTATAGATTTTTCATATGCTGACAGCTCTGCAGAAATTATGACAGCTTAAAGGTTGTGTCTGTCTCCCGAAACACGTCTGATTGGTTGATGTTTTTCCTCAAGCTGCAAAAGATCAGATGTCGGAATGCCGGGACACGCTGCTCTCGTCACCACGACCTCTGGACGCTGCTTGACGCCATCCACCATAGACTTTACATGTAAATCAGAAGCTCTGAAGCCCAGAGCGCTTCTGGTGTGAACACACCGTGATGTCAGCAGCTCTACCCTGAGCAGCGGGGGTTTACTTAGGGACTGATTGAATAAATAATTTTTGATATACTAGACAATAAATCATGACTTTTGACATTATTAAAGTTCATTTAAAAAAGTAACTTGATTATAATTAGATGGAAACAGTCGGTCACATGACTGAAAAGCTTTTTTAAGAATATTAATTTTACAGAAGAGAATAATCCAAATACTGAAAATAAATAGAAATTTCAACCAAAAAGTCCAAATTTAGTCTAAACTATTGAATTGGCCATCATTTTGTGACAGTGGTTCACAGGACAAACCAAACCACTTTATTTATAAAGCATTTCACAACTTAGCTGCAGACTGAAAGAAAAAAACACAAAGAAAAACAAGAATAAAAAAGTTAAAAACACAAGAATGTTCCCTGCTCCGCACCACCACCTTACTGGGAACATTTTCAAATATGGCATCGGACAGGACAAAACTAAAAAAAAAAAAAAATCTTCTGCATGTTTTGTTAAATGCAACTGCATGTTTCGGTTGGTGTCCTGGAGATTATCTTCATTTTGCCTGCTGCTTCCTGCTTTTCCCTCTAGGTGGAGCCTGAGGGTCACATGTGGCCCCGTACTGACAGGGGACCTTCATCCAGGACTGCTGCCAGCCCTTTGATCCAGAGTCTTTACCATGGGTGGTATACCTCTGGTCTACATAGAAGTCCTAGTTTTGCTCCTCATCTCCTGCTTTCCTCTGTAAAACCAAAGCTCTGAACCAGGGGCGGAGCTAGACAATTTCATCACAACTTACCCTAAAAAATGTGGGTCGATTGGTCCTTTAAAAAGTTAAAGAAATGTCAGAATCTATTGGTCACAGCCTTATACAATACTCACCCTAAGATAGATAACATAGCTTGGCCTGTTTTTCAGTGTTGTCCTGTTTCTCTGACTTTTGCTGAGTTCAAACTGAGGGGCGGCGTCCAACGAAGCCTGGATTCGTTGGCTGATTACGTCACAGTGGCCTGACAAATGCAGCCTTCTTTTTTCCCGTTTTGTAGGACAGGTCTGCAGTATCCTCCGTAGCCTTTGGTATCCCATGATTCTTTGCAAATCTAAGCAAGCCAGCTGCTCTGTGCTCAGAGGAAAAAGGGAAATGGCGCCAAACACTGGTGAATATTGGAAGTGCAGTTTAATATAATCCAAGTCTGAGAATAGTTCCATCTGAAACGAATGAAAATAGTTGTTTTAATGGTTATTGAGTCAGATATGTGACGGTGATGTTTGGTTTATTGAAAGGTTTTATCTGTCCCTGTGTAAATGGGTCTGACAGACATTTAAGCTCAGATTCCAATATCTCTGCAGGGTGGGGACTATAAATCTGATATCTGAGACGACCGTACTGCTGTTGAAGCTCCTCAGAAATGTTATTAGCACCCAGAACAGCAGTGTTGTTCAGTATCCATACTCCGCCTACTTTGTTTGTCATCTCTTACGGTTGCTAGGCGACAGATTGTACGTGCGGTGAAAGCTGGAGAAGGCTGGACCTGTTTGAATCCAAAACTCTTCCGGCCTCCTTATTTTCACGGACGTGGAAGGACCCAGTCCAGGTAGACCGGGTCCTTGGTGGAGACAGCTGCTGAAACCGAACACCCCCTTAGACTAACTGGATTTGCTCTTTTTCATCCTCTGACATGGAGCTGCACTGCAAAAAATGTAAAACTAAGTCAGCTGGTTGACAGTTGCCTTTTGTATCTATGCTTCTTTTTCTATGTCTGCTTCTGTCTCCTTGAACCCCAGTGGGCCTCAGCAGATGGCCGCTCACACTGAGCCTGGTTCTGCTGGAGGTTTCTTCCTGTTCAAAGGGAGTTTTTCCTCTCCACTGTCGCTACAAGCATGCTTAGTGTGAGGGATTGCTGAAGAGTCAATGAGTCGATGCAATCAGCTGGTTTTCCTTAGAATGAAAACTTTGAATCAATCTGACTCGATGATCTGGTGAACTGGAAAGTGACCTGAGATGACATGATGTGAATTGGAGCTATAGAAATAAACTGAATAGAATTGAATAATTTGAATTAAAAAGTGCAATTTAAAAATCCTTTTTAAATAGGATTTCTAAATGTATTATTTAAATGTTACATTTAAAATGGTTGTTTTTCTTTTTCACAGACTCTCCTGTTCCTCCATAGCTGTGTTCTATATTGCAGGTTTAATTCAGTTGTATATCTATATTCTTACTTTACCTTTAGAATAAATCTTTGTATATGGAACTGTGTGTGAGGTTTTAGCTCATTTCTACCCTCCTATTCAGTTATAGGAGCTCTTCAAACATTGAGATCATGTATTTCTGGTTTGTTGTACTTCCTGTTGGTGGTTTTGTCTTGTCTGCTTTCTTAAAATGTCCGGAAGATCGTCAGGGTGAAAACAGACACACATATTTATTCTGTTTTTTATTCCCTAACAGTCCTGAGAGAAACTGACCTTTTCTATGACTCAGTTGGTGTTTTTATGTTGTCCATAGGTTTTAGAGACAAACAGGCTCTCAGACAGGAATTCAGCACTAAAGGGGCGGGGTATCTGTTTCTTTTGAACCCGTGCCATTGGTTGGCTTTTGACCAATCAAACAGCTGGTCTTCACACTCTTTAACATTCTTTAGGTTCTTGTAGTAACCCAGAACTTACTTTGTAGTGAGATCTAAAACACCTACAGCTGCCAGTCTTACCTGAGGGGGGTTTTCAACCTTGGATTTTTGGACACATTAGAAGCAGCAGATTATCCTGCAGGTGAGAAGCAGCTTTTCTTTTATTTTCTTTGTCCCTTTCAGCTCTGCATGACTGAGACGCTTTTTATGCCTTCAGACAATGAGAAAACCTCTTCCTGTTGTCTTCTTGAAGAAAACAAGGTCATCCTTCACAAAACTAAATACCTTTCACACTTTAAACATCAAAGTGATGCTTTAATGATTTTTAATTTAATCTAAGCCTTCCACCAAAACAACAAGGAACACGTGTGAGGCACCGATAAGAGAAAAGGGGTCTTCAGCGACCCTCAGATGGTGGGAGGCCACTTACTGTAGCCTTATCTCCCACAGCCACCAAAATACAAACATTTCAAGTTAAAGTGTCTCTAAAAGCCTTGAAAGTCCCAGCAGCTGTGGATTGGATTAGAGTCGATGCAAAACAACTGGTCTGCTGATTAAAAAACGTCTTAATTAATGAGGTCAGGATGTTTCAGTTCATTCTAATCAGGGTTTCATCAATGCTGCACACGTTACTAAGAGCATTTTAAGAAAGCGCTGGGATTTTAAGTAAAAATGTGTCTAAGATTTGACCTTTCTGCAAAAACTGCAAAACATTTCTTAAAATAAGTGTATTTAACCTGAATTTGAGTTGGACAATAATTTCATTTGCAATAGAATGAGCATTTTTACCATTAAACTTAGACTTAGACTTAGACTTAGACTTAGACTTCTTTATTTGTCATTTTGTATGCACAGGGTGCATACAGAACGAAATTGCGTTACATACAGCTTATGAACGTTGCATTGATATTTCACAATATCACAATTATCAAATAAGATAATTGGTTATTATGCATTTTAAAAGAAGAGCCTGCAGTCTTTTTCTTATTTTAAATGTAAATATTCTTATTCCATTGGCAAAGGGATTCTCTTATCTGCTCAATTAAAGACAAATGCAATTATTTTAAGAAAAATTGATTTATTTTTTGCAGTGTACTACAAGATAAACGGGCGCTAAGATGAAATACCAGTTTAAACTATAAATGATTTAAAAAGTGTTGAACAAAAGTTATGTAAAGACTTTTAAAGGTGTAAAAAACTTTAATGAGCATATCAAATTTGCTAAAAGATAATAATTAGACTTAAAAAAAAAAAGCCTAAAGGTGTTGCTTTTTACAAGTCTTTGTACAAACATATTTCTCCCACTCACGCTTGAATGTGGGTATTTTTCCAGTGCTTGTCAGTAATAATTTGCAAGTTCTGGGCGTGACTGACGAACAATAAACAGGATCAGATGACGGAAGGCTAAGGCTCTGTTAGGCGCTAGACGTATGGAAAGGTTTATATATGATCCAGCCGAGGGGCATGGAAACAGGGGGAGGGTGGATTTACCATTAGGCAATACTATGCAGTTCCCTAAGGCCCAAAGTTCCTGGGGAGGGGGGTCATAAAACTCTGTTTACATTTATACTTAAAAAAAAACTATTCCTTATTTGTGCATATTCATTGCATTTTTGATAAAAATCCTTTGCCCAAAATGCCATCAGAACGCTGATAAGATTAAGTGTGTCTCAGCCCCCCCCTTCAGGGTCCACCATATTGGATCAGTCCATTTGCTGCACATGTTCAGAAAGGTCCAAGCAGACAGCAGCAAACCATTTGAAAACAAGCCATGCAAAGGGCAGTGTTGCCAACTTAGCGCTTTAGTCGCTATATTTAGCCACTTTTCAGACCCCTCTAGCACTTTGATTTCTAAAAAGCTCCTAGCGCCAAATCTAGAGACTTTTTTCTGCTACTGGAGACTTTGGAGACAACATCTAAAAGCAGCGAACTCTGCTCTCCAGAGCGAGTAGATTGGTAACCCCGCCTCCTGCTCTCCTCTATCTTGTCTGCTGTCATGATTCATGCAGCTATTATTTCATCCAAATGAAAAATGGAGAACAGAGAAGCAGATCATGGCTTGTCTACAGTGAAAAGAAGGACTGGGTTATTTACTTTGGCCTTTTTGGAAACACAGGAAGGAGCAATCAGCTAAGTGAAAATTGGCTTTGTGAGTGACAAAAGGTAGAACAGATAATGGATGTCTATAGGGCTGCAACAACGAATCGATAAAATCGATAAAAATCGACTTTTAAAAGCGCTGGCAACGAATTTAATCATCGATTAGTTGTGTCGCGCGATTAATGCGTCATCCGCCGCCGCCGTCATCCGGGGGAAGAAAAAAAAATATGGCGGAGCGAGTCAGCGCCGCAGTTGCAGTGTTGCCAACTCAGCGACTTTTCAGACCCCTCCAGCGACTATTTTTCAAAAAAGCGACTAGCGACAAATCTGCCGACTTTTTACGGTGTCACTGGCGGCGTTTGCCTGCCGTGGGGCGCCTCCCCCATCCCAACGCCTTTCTCCCTCTCCCACAGGAATCCCTCTCAGCGCTGCAGTCAGAGCCGCAGGATTTTAGTGAGGAGTTTACCCTCAGCGTCCAGACTGCAAATGAAGCGCGCATGCGCCGGGATTGACGGCACAAATTGATCACAATAATTAAAATAGCCTGCGCTTTGTAAAGTGAAAAAAGTCGTAACATGCAACTTTTGTAAAAACAAATGAACATGGCACGGAAGCACCACTGTTATGACGCAGCACCTGAAAAGAAAACACGTTGGAGCCTTCAATGGCAGTGAAGAGAGCTGATCAGCAGGATGAGTAACCATGTTTGTTTGGTTTTAAAGTGGGGAAACGTTACGTTAGTTTCTCAGGAAGCTCATCTGATGCTTTCCTTACCGTGTTAGTAGGTTACAGACAGTGATAAGGTTGGCTACTTATTTTACTTTTAATTTCATTTAAATTTGTTTAAGCAGCGTTTATATTTTCTTTATAAATAAATTAACTTGCAAATTATGAGGGCAAGGCTTTTAAAGTTTAAATCTTCTGGCAAAGATAAAGTAAAGAAGATCCTGCAATTTATGGAAGTAAAGCAGAATAAAATCCAGCAAGATCAGTAATATGTCAATTAATTATCTGCCACATTCCCATGTAAATATCAGTCTTTGGAGGATGTGTTTTTTAGCACCCCTAGTTCTCTCATTTTTATTCTAAATACAGTTTATAATTTGAATCACAGGGCTATTTTTATCTCTATGGTTCAGTATTTTCTCAAGTAGCAACTTTAACTGCTATACTTTCCTGTCTTAAAAGGCAGAACTCTTCTAGTCTAAAAAAAACTAATTTGTTGAAATGGGGGGGCCTATTGTTTGAGCCCCTTAGGGGCTTTAAAAAACAAAAATGTCTTTTTTTGCGCTTTATGAAACAAAGTACCCTATATTTTGTGGATGTACAGCTACATTTCTCATGTAAGTTTGCGTAGTTTTTACACAAACATTTATTTTTCATATTGCACCAGTACAGTTAATGAGCAACCTATACTTGTGTGCTTGTTTGTTCTGTCTAAAATGTTTATTTTGGAATAAAGAGGTTAATATAAAAAAAAATGTTTGTCCGATTCATCGATTAATCGAAAAAATAATCGGCCGATTCATCGATTTTTAAAATAATCGTTAGTTGCAGCCCTAGATGTCTATTCTATTAACATTTCTTTAATTGTAGAATGAGGCTGTTTTATGTGTTGTCTTCTCCATTCAGAGGGACCCCTGCCTGTCTTTGCCTAGGGTCCCAAATTTCCTAAATCCGCCCCTGCATGGAAACAATCAAACCCCAAAGAGATGAATCATCATTTAAACAATTAACCTTCTCATTGGAGGCTGCAGTTTTAATGATGCAAAGCTTTTTGCAGACAACATCGCTGAACTGTTTTACGTTTCTTATCAAGTTTTAATCTCTTCACATTGGTACCTCCCTGAAAATTTTCCACTGTACACAGGTGGGTGTGTGTGTGGGGAGGGGGGTGGCTCAGTTTCACAATTTAAAGGTGTTTTCCTGCAGGGGACACCACAGGAAATGCTGTTTCCGGGATCACAATGCATCGTCACATAGGTAGTGACTCAAGAGTCCTTCAGCTCTTTATTGTGATGATGATCAGATTTAATGTCGTAGTCTGAAGCAGCTCGTTTCAAAGCTGTTTCAGCATCTAACACTACTCTGAATTTATGGTGTTTTTTTATTTTAATCTGTTATTTTTATTTTGACCTAATTTATGACCTCATCACAGCAAACAAAGGTTAAAGTTTTTACAAGAAAAAATGTATAGATTGTATTTAAGATGGCCTCTCTATATAAGAAGAGGTTTTATTAACTAATGAAGACGTAAGAAAAACATTGTGATTTTTGTGTTACATTTCATAAACTTTTTTATTTATCAATATTTAAAAAGAAAATGTAATTGAAAAAAAATGCCTTTTCAAACAGCAGAAAACCAGGTTTAAAATAAGTCAGTTGGTAAAAAGAGCTATTTTACAGGTGCTGGTCATAAAATTAGAATATCATGAAAAAGTAGATTGATTTCAGTAATTCCATTTAAAAAGTGAAACTTGTATATTATATTCATACATTACATTCAAACTCATATATTTCAGATGTTTATTTTGTTTAATTTTGATGATTACAAATGACAACAAATGAAAATCTCAAATTCATCATATCAGAAAATTAGAATATTACTGAAGACCAATAAAAACAAAGGATTTATAGAAATGTTGGCCAACTGAAAAGTATGAACATGAAAAGTATGAGCATGTACAGCACTCAGTATTTAGTTGGGCCTCCTTTGGCCTGTATTACTGCAGCAATGCGGCGTGGCATGGAGTCGATCAGTCTGTGGCACTGCTCAGGTGTTATGATAGCCCAGGTTGCTCTAATAGTGGCTTTTAGCTCTTCTGAATTGTTGGGTCTGGTGTATTGCATCTTCTTCTTCACAATACCCCATAGATTTTCTATGGGGTTAAGGTCAGGAGAGTTTGCTGGCCAATTAAGAACAGGGATACCATGGTCCTTCAACCAGGTACTGGTAGCTTTGGCACTGTGTGCAGGTGCCAAGTCCTGTTGGAAAATGAAATCTGCATCTCCAAAAAGTTGGTCAGCTGCAGGAAGCATGAA